TTTCTCCACATCCTCTCCAGCATGTATTAACACTTGAGTTTTTGATCTTAGCCATTCTGATGGGTGCAAGGTGAAATCTCAGGGTCGTTTTGATTTGCATTACCCTGATGAGTAACAACATTGAGATTTTTTTTAAGTGTTTCTCTGCTGTTCAATACTCCTCTATTTGAGAATTCTTTGCTTAGCTCTGTATTCCATTTTTTAATTGGATTACTTGATTTGTTGCTGTTAAACTTCTTGAGTTCTTTATATATTCTGGATATTAGCTCTCTTGTCAGATAGAGGGTTGGTGAAGATCCTTTCCCAATCTGTAGGCTGTCCTTTTGTTCTGACGACAGTGTCCTTTGCTTTAAAGAAGCTTTTCAGTTTCATTAGGTCCCATTTGTTGATTGTTGCTCTTAGAGCCTATGCTATTGGTGTTCTGTTCAGGAAGTTGTCTCCTGTGCCAATGGGTTCTTCCCCACTTTTTCTTCTAACAGGTTTAGTGTGTCTGGTTTTATTGAGGTCTTTGATCCACTTGGACTTTAGTTTTGTGCAGGGTGATAAGTATGGATCTATTTGCATTTTTTCTAAACATGTAGACATCCAGTTAGACCAGAACCATTTGTTGAAGATGCTATCTTTTTTCCATTGTATGGTTTTGGCATCTTTGTAAAAAAAACAGATGTCCATAAGTCTGTGGGTTTATTTCAGGGTCTTATATTCAATTCCATTTATCTACCAGTCAGTTTTTATGCCAGTACCAGTTTTTACTATTGTTGCTCTATAGTATAGGGATGGAGATACTTCCAGAAGATCTTTTATTGTAGAGGAATGTTTTAGCAATTCTGGGTTTCTTGTTATTCCATATGAAATTGAGAATTTTTCTTTCAAGGTCTATAAAGAATTGTGTTGGTAATATGATGGGAATTGCATTGAATCTGTAGATTGTTTTTGGTAAGATGGCCAACATAGTTCTTGAAGTCCTTGCTAGAGCAATAAGACAATTAAAGGAGATCAAGGGGATACAAATTGGAAGGAAGAAGTCAAAGTATCATTATTTTTAGATGATATGGGCCACCTGAGTGGTCCCAAAAATTCTACCAGGGAACTCCGACAGCTGATAAACACCTTCAACTAAGTGGCTGGATACAAAATTAACTCAAAAAATCAGTAGCCCTCCTGTATACAAAAGACAAAAGGGCTGAGAAAGAAATTAGGAAAACAGCACCCTTCACAATAACCAGAAAGGACATAAAGTACCTTGGTGTGACTCTAAACAAGCAAGTCAAAGACTTGTATGAAAAAAATTTCCAGTCTCTGGAGAAAGAATTGGAAGAAGATATCAAAAGATGGAAAGATCTCCCATGCTCCCATTACTATGTTAATCTTGGCATGAATAACATAGTAAAAATGGCCATCTTATCATTTGTATATATTAATCTCTGTATTATCTGCTCACATTCTTAGACCATCTTAATTTTATTCTTCTACTGGATTATGATGGCTATTTGTATGTTAAGGATATTAACATCTACAGCACAAGTCAAAAGCATTTTTAGACTTCATATTTGGCTTTCGTTTTGTTTGGTGTTTCTAACTTTAAACAAAGACAATCCACTGGAAATGTTCCTGTGTTTTCTGATTTTGCAGTAGCAAATCATATCTAATAGTAGGAAATGTTCTCACTTCACAAAATTCATAGCAATAATGGATTTTAGGCCTAAGAAAATTGTACATGGGGCTTATAATCCTCTAAGATGAATAAATTTTACCACTTTGACTTCAAATTATTTTTCCTTACTCTTCAGCAATTTCTATATATCTGTACGCTCCATCGTTTTGATTATACTTGAAGGCTGTAAACAGTACAATAGAAATCCAATTTCCTGAATGGAAAGGTTCTATAATGTCAGAAGACTCTTCATGTTAGACCTTTCAAAACCTTAAATCTTGAGTTCAAAGCCCTCACTTACAACTTGACAACAGCTACAGAAGGATAAACATGTCTCTTTAATCCCCAGAATCATATTCTCTTTATATCTGTTAACATACTTTTTCAAAGGAAAAGAGCTTTGATTCCTACTCCCGATCCTCAAATCATATTTCTTTAATTCCACTGGGAAAGTAAGAACAAAAAGACTTCCAACTTGATGTTATGAATCAATTTCTCAAGAACAAGGAACAAAAATACATGAACTGAAATGGAAATGGGCAGTGTAAAAAGTAAATCCCTCTTGGGGCTGGCGATGATAGCTTGGAAACCTGAGTTTGATCCCTAAGGCCCATATAAAAAGTCGGTGTGCTTGCACACTAGTAGTCCCAGCACTGGGTTGCTGGAGGCAAGGAAATGTCTGGGGCTCACTCACCAGACATCATAGCTGACTCAGTGAGCTCAAGACCAGTAAGATACTGTCCCGACGAAACAGGTGAGCACTTATGAGTAATAACACCCAGGACTGACCTCCGGCCCCTCCATACACACACTCATACATACACATGCATCTGCATGCACACGCGTGCCCAGATGGACATACACATAGATCCAAAAAATAAAGGGAAAAATCCCTCTTGTTTAAATTAAGAACGTTTTTATACTACACCTCCGTTTTCTCTCACATTTACTGTGAAGAATTCTTCTCATTTCCTGGGAAGGAAGGACACAGCATTCCCTTCCTTGGGATGGTCAGAGTAACAAGCTAGGCATTGTGGTTGTCAGTCATTGTCAACAATTTTCCAAAATATATATAAACACAGCAGTATGGTCTACATGGCAAGTCTTCCCTGAAACTGGGTGTAGATGGGCAAATACAAGGCCATCTCACTGCAGTCTTTAGGATGCACACCTCATGCAAAATATACATTGAGGAGCTCCTACAGCCACCAAAACTAGATTCAGACATACTTCTCTTCAGGGCCTCTCACGGGGTTTCTTGCCTTTGACATTAGAATGTTCTGGTGTATTTTCCTGAAATAAATAAATAAATAAATAAATAAATAAATAAATAAATAAATAGAGAAAGAAAGAAAGAAAGAAAGAAAGAAAGAAAGAAAGAAAGAAAGAAAGAAAAACACAAAATGGATAATTATGCATGGCTATGAGGACTTTGTAGGAATGTGATGGTAGGGAGAGAAGAATGGGCAGAAAGTGCAGAAATGAAAACTTTCAAGTGTCTGGTTTTTTTGGCTCTTTCATCAAGGTGGGACCTCAGGTCCTCCATGGGAACATACCTACGCACATATGCTTCTCACATCACGAGCTCAGGAAAAACACATTCACAGTAATAAAGCCAGGTAAACTACCTCTCCATGACCAGAATGCCTCAGTGTACGCTCATCTACACAGCTGGAGCAGGCTCCTTTTCCCAGGGAGGGCTCTGTGTTTCTACTGCACAGCCCTGCCTGGGAAATTCTGTAGCTACATAGCATCCGTTTATCCCACAGGTTTGTCCTTGTGTGTAGGCTAGTTCCTGATCCTGAACCAAGGCTGAGTAGCCCTGTGATTGGCGCTTAATAGCCTTGCCTTGTCAGGAACTGTTAACATACTTGTGGTGTACACTTACTGTCTGTTTCCATGCTAGACTGCAATCCCCAAGAGTGTGTTAGCATCTGTGCTGTTCACTTCAACCCGTCCAGTTCCTGTGAGGAGCACATTAATACATGCTCAGCAAACACTGATGAAGGAGGATTAGTAATCTAAATGTACAAAGTGTTAGGTTTAGTTCCTGACACAAAGAAGTGATCGATGCGTGGTAGTTTGGATAAGACCAGAAACAATCTTGCTGCTGGCTGTGCATGCTCCACTCTCTATCTCCTCCCACCAGGGCTCTAAAGCTCTGTTTCTCACTGTCCTGTCACCACAGCTTTCAGAGGAAATTGCAGCATTCTATTTTTAGTTGTTTTTCAGAAGAGTCTGTGTGGCCTGCAAAGTGTGTAAAAGCTGTAATGATGGGCCGTCATGCCACCAAGTCTTACAGTTATATTTAGGTGGACTCCCAGAGTTCAGGCTGAACAGCTTTGTTTGCTACATGTTTGCTTTCAAGCCAACCAGGGATGTATCCTTGACTGGACCAGAGGTTGTGAGGCTACTCTGAAGTGTGTTCATTCTCCAATTGCCAGTTTGTTGCTGGAGAAGATAAAACTTTATTTTTAAAAACTCCCCAGTGTTTCCACAGGAAGTATCTGTGAAACTACAAAATGATATTTTAAAGTCTTGGACCATTTTACTTAGGTCTGTCACCCTGAGTACCTGGATCTGGCTAGTTTTTCCTTTACTCTAAGGGGGCGGGGAAAAGCAGAGAGCAATATAAAACTCTTTGAGCAGATAGTTGGATATGAGCAAGTGGAAATGGACACTCAGGGCCAGAGGAGAAAAGATGAGGGAGAAGACCCAGAACCAGAGAAGAGATGTACAAATGAGGACCTAGAAACAGAACAACAGAGTGGGATGGTGAAGAGGGAGAGAAAAAGTAAGAATGGTGGCTCAGAACCAACCACACAGAGAAGGGGAGGATGGTAACACAGACCTAACCAGGGAAGAGAAGGTGAGGATGGCGACACAGGGCCTAAGAAAATTTAAGAATGGAAACACACCTTTGATACCACCACCTCAGAGGCAGAGGCGGGTGAATCTGTCTAAGTTGGAGGCCAGCCTAGTCTACAGATAGAGTTCCAAGACAGACAGGGCTATGAAAAGAAACCATGTCTTAAAAAAAGAAAAGAAAAAGAAAAAGGAAGGAAGAAAGAAAACAAAGAGAAAGAAAAGATGAGATGAGATAAAAAGAGTTTTTAGGGTTGGGGAGGAACCCACACCAGCTGGGAGGATGAGCAGTAACCAAACAAGATGTGATTCTTAGCAGGCGGCTGGCTGCACTGCCTCCTCAGAGCTGTAATAATATAATAAGGCCCCCTTGGTCCCCAGCGGAGCACACTTTAATTAAATGCATCCATGAGACAGCTGCACCTTAGCATCATAGAATTCATACACAATATTTTCTACTTGTCATTTCTCTACCACATAGATGCCTTGAACCTCCGAAACAGACAGGTCATTTGCGTCACTCTCAAAGTCCTCCAGCATCTGGTTGTATCGGCTGAGATGGTGGGTGAAGCTTTGGTGCCTTACTACCGTCAGATCCTGCCAATCCTGAACATCTTCAAGAATATGAATGGTGAGTGATCCCAGAAGGCAAAATGTCTTTTAAGCCTTAAAATAAGGGAGCAAGCCTATTTGGAACTATCACCCTTCAGTTTGGAGATGTGATGCCTCACATTCTCCCACTGTCCCCTCTGGAAACAGTCAAATTGGCAATTTTGATGATTCCTCAAACACCCAGCCCACTCTCTCAGGAGAGGAGCCCCAAAATGCTTCTATATGTTTCCAATAACTAAACTGTATTGTTTTCTTTAATACTTCTCAAATGCATTAGAAGGTTTTGATCCTCCCTATAAAACTTTATAGCTCACTATTTATAAATTGATTGAAGGTAAGTGTTTTAAATGCTATTCAGACATGGTAAACAGTTTGGAGATTTTTGACATCTGATCTTTAATCTCAAGGAAAATAAGAGAAAAAAAGATAATTTTTTGCTCTTAATTATTAATACTTAGTAATTTGTCATTAACACTTTTCACTAGCTTGGATGGTAAGTATTGATTAAAATAGATATGGTGGCTGATTTCTCTTGAAAAAAAAATTCTTTACTAGAGTTGGGAAGCATGGATACAATCAAAAGAATGTTTATCCTGCAGAAATCTGAGGCAAGTCTTTGGTATCATTGCTAGGCTGTGGGAATGGGTTTGCCACTGGCAGTCTGATTCTCCTGAAAATGCATGAATCTCATTTTTTTTCCAACTTTGAATCTCCATACTTCTCACATGCATGGGAGAAGTCAACAGTTGAAGCTAGTTCCTGACAGCCATGTAAATAACTTGGTAATTTAGTGGAATGCAGATGAAAATTTTGCAACACGATTGTATATTCGGGAAAACAATATCAAACAAAAAGCCAAGTGTCTGGCAGACCCTGCCATAGACAAGACTGTCATTTAGAGTCACCATCTTTGAAGATAATTACTGATTGTTATTGAATCTGCATCATGTATACACTATTCCAGACATTGTGGAATTCTCAGCTCTTTGGCTGTCTTATGATTATAGGACCTAATTATATGTTTGTAGTTCATCTCAAACAATCTGAAGAGGAGAAAGATACATAGACACTTAAGCAAGATGATTACTCTTCAATGAAATTAAAAACTGTGCTTTAGTAATTTAGTTTCATAATATCCAACCAATTGTTTTTATAACAGCATTCTTATGCTATAAAAAATTACTTATAAACCTTATTTATTCATAATTCATACTTTTGCCATTTGGTAGCATCAAATATCTGTGCATTTATAGAAAGACTACATACACACATGTGATTTAATTATGGTTCTTCGGAATACTGTAAACTTCCTTGTATTCCTACATGTAGATCCTAGCTCAACCTGAAGAAGCTAGAGAAAAAAGTAGAGATGGGGAGATGGATTCATGTGGACATGAGAAAGACGGGGAGGGGGAGACTGAGGCTCATCTGAGAGGTATAGAGATAAAATAGATTGATGGGGACATGAGAAAGGGAGGGAGGGGAGATTGAGGCAGATCTGGGAGTGGTGGGGAAGGACAGGTTGAGATGAAAGAAATGGAATAACCAGAGCAGCTACTTAAAACCTCTAGGCTAACATTTTGAAACCTGTGTTTCCCAAATACTCCTCACACACACCTACAGAATGTTCACCGTTAGTATTCCTGTTGTGTTACTTTGAAGCTTGCCTCCCTATAGCTTTTCTCACTTACACACATGTGTTTCTGAATCTGATGATCACATAGATTGGGCCAGCCTACATAGCTTCTCTCTCACTTAAGCATGGAGGGATAAAGAAGTCCATAGTGATATGCTCTTGTTATATGGTAAAATCTGCAACTTAAATCTAAGTAATGTTTTGTACCCTAGTGTGAATCAAGGCAACTGGGGAAGCGCAAGTGACAACCAAATTCTTAGGTACCAAACTTGGGAGGCAAGACTGATTTGGGGATCACAGGCAGCCCTCCTGGCGGTTCTGGGCTGTTAAACAAAGCTGCTACTTCCTGTTGTTTCCTAGGCACAGCTTCTCCCTAACTCTGTAACTAGCAAACGCCCCTCTGCCTAATAAAGGTAGAGGTTGCTTATCTTATACTGGAGATCTCACTGTGAGGAATTTGTAGTTGATCTACGCCACCATTGGTTTCAAGCACAATCAACAGTTTTGGAATATTTCCCAATGCACACAACAGAAATTCCATGTTAAAAATGCCTTTCTGTCATTCTTCTGACGTTTGAGAGAGAAAATATTATCTTCTGCTTCATTTTCTCCTTTTCTTGGAAGCCTGTCACCACAATGCCATGGTGAGCTTTACTACATTCTAAGGGGCCTGTTATAAAATCTGATCATTATACCCCACTAATGGAATGCTCGTCTTTAAAGGTGTTCTCTTATCCCAGAAGTGACTCTGTAACCCTGGATCCACATCTGCAAGAAATTCACTCCAGGACTTGCAGCTGTATTAGTACTTTGCTCTAGGAAAATGTTTTTTCTAACAGTAGTTTTTATTAAAAATCCCACTTATGATTGTAGATGTTGTACCCATATTCACAGCCATAATTCTTATTTAATTTAAGCAGGTTTATCACAGCCTGTCATTATTTATCATTAAAATGTGTCAGAGATTTTCAGTAATAGCAAGAGGGAGAAAAATTTTAAACTAGGTTCCAAAGCACTTGAAGATAATTTTATGTTTCTATACTTCTGCTATCCATGCTTGTCTTTTATGTAAATCAATGTCTTGTTAAACTTAGATTCACATACATTTCTTTCAAGTCCTGCCACAAAATCCTTTTAGGATGGGACCAGATATAAATGACAGAAAGAATGAAAGAATACATCCTTTCAAATATAATGACCCTACTCTTCTGTCTGTCCCCTTGAAGCACACAGTTTAGTTTAATTCTACCATCTGATCTTTTTTCCTCTTTTAGTGTTAAATGAACTTTTTCTGAAACAAGCAACTAGGGATGAGTAGCCAGGGAGCCAGGCAAACCTGTTAAAAGTAGTGCACAATGAGGAAAACCAGGCTCCCAGGTTCTGGCGGTCATCGTTCAAAAAAACTAGACCAGGGAGAAAATGATACAATTTAAGGCATCCGTCTGTACCATTTCTGTCCTTCTAAGGTGTTACATCTTAGCCAGCCTTATAACATTATTCTTGCTCTAGAAGAGGGTATTCACCTCCCAAGAGGCAGGGGAGTAGTAATGGAAAGATACAACAACCACCAAGGACAATCTCCCAGAGACAAGCTTCCTTCAAGGTAGGCCTTATCCACTGAAATTTCCAGAGCCCCTGAATTAGTACCAGCAGCTAGGGACCAACCGTTCAATACACAAGCCTTTGAGGGAAACTTCATATCTAAACCGTAATAGCAGCTTTCTGCAAGTGTTGGCGTGAACATTAGAGACAATGCGTTCATAGCCCTATGGTAAAGTAAAATAGCATATATATATATATATATATATATATATATATATATATATATATATATATATATATACAAATATATTACAAATTTATAATATGATCTTACGTAAAATGTAGTGATGCTATGTGAGCTGTAATCTAGCAACCTATCTGTGTGGATGGAAGTTCTATGTGGAGCCTGTAACATGGTTCCTGTTGTTCCTGTTGGGTAACTGCCAGTGTGACCCTTCCATACTCTGTGAGAAAGGTGCAAGCTCTTGGTCTCACCAGCCATGTCAAGGCCTTTGCTTCACAGGGTCTGTCTTATTTCTGATGACTTCATGCTAGGTGAGGTTTTTGTTGTTGTTTTTTGTTTCATTTTGTTTTGTCTTTTCTATAAATTAAGGAATAAACTGTTTTCAAAACCACCCTTTCCTTGCAAAATATTTAAGTTAATATGTGTGACTGGTATTTGAGGTAATACCACCTTTTTAAAATATAAGCCCATGTCAGACAGAGGAAGAAAGCTTAGATCAGGGCCTTCCATGGGAGATCCAAACTAGTATCTATATTTAGGGCTCATTTCTCCCACTCAAGTACTAACAAGACCCAACCGTGCTTATGTTCATGCTCAGACAGGATTGGGCATGTTCAGGGTAACATAAACCTTACTAGAGCCCAAATCTCCATATTTAAACAATGAACTTGAGATGTCTAAAATATGTTGATTTTTTTCTAAGAACTACATTGGGGTGAGAAAAAGAATAATTTCTATAAACTATTCATAAAATAAATTTGTCATACAGCCAATAGAAGTTTCATCTCTCTTATGCTCCCTTATAAATGTTATTAAAGGCTACAGAAAATTAAGAGAGTAAGAATGTTCAGTTTTTGGACTGGAGAGATGGCTCAGAGGTTAAGAGCGCTGTCTGCTCTTCCAGAGGTCCTGAGTTCAATTCCCAGCAACCACATGGTGGCCCACAACCATCTATAATGAGATCTGGTGCTCTCTTATGGTATCCAGACAGAACACTGTATATGTAATAAATAAATTTTTAAAAAAAGAAAAGAATGGTTAGTTTGTAGCTTTGCCAGATGAAGTCATAAAATTAATGATGTGGTGTATTACATTTGAGGAACATGAGCCAATAGATGACATGAACTCACTCATAGCTAAACTGTAGGCTCTGACAGCAGACCAGGGCCTTTAAGATATTGATTCCACATGTTGCATCCTTGGTTCCTAAGGGCAACAATAGTCCAGAACAAGCTTGCGCCTGAAACGTTCAGGACTGCTGGCCTCTAAGATGCTGACAGAACCACGAGCCATACAATAGAAATGTAATAATCAAATGTCCTGCCCCATGATGTGGAAAACCAAATAGTAAAATATTTAGGATAAGTCTCGAATATGGCCCACTCAGACTGATAAAAGTCCATTAACAGACACAAAGATTTTCAGTCAAAGGCCTACCCAGCAGGGACAGGCACTTACTGCTTAGCCTGACTGAGTAGATCCAAGGGATCTACATGGTGAAAGGAGAAAACAGACTCTTGCAAGTTGTCCTTTAATCTCTACTGTAGCATATGCCTCCTTCCCCCAGTGATAATAAATAACAATTTAAATACCTTTA